ATCTTTGGAAGTTGGAAGGAATCTTTGGAGGCGGTGAAGAAGATCGCTCTGAGTATATTAGCGATGGTGGATAATCGGCGGCGCTGGAGTATTATGAAGTTGAGATTGTGAGAGAATTGTTGCTGCTGGGATTCGAACCTGGGCGCATTGTAGGTTTGTGTGTGAGGAGAGAACCTCATGTCGACTCGCTGAGCTGTTTGCTAGTCGACGACATCTCGATCGAATCGCATTCAGCACATGGAGAGGGTGGGACAGTGGGTCACCCACTGTGGGTGAGGAATTTGTTTAACGCGACTGAAAAAATTGTGAGCGTGGTGCGCTTTAACGACGGTCGTGCTACGCTGAGACGGTTTCGTGTACTGTAACAGTACGATATAGAGATTGTAGGTTTGATAATAGTTGGTGATAATGAGATTTCCTTCTCATTCCTCTTCTGCTTCATGGGGGCGAAGATGCGTCTCAATCACTGCTGCGGATCAAGAGATGTCGTCCGGTGGTTCGCCTTGCGATACACCGAGTACTGTAGATATAGAATGCTTTCTCACTATCAGGAGCAGGAGGCCGAGTCAAATTCGTAACAACATGCTCACTACGTAGCAGTAGTACTACATCGAAATTCGATGAACTAGTAATCATCGAGTCCATTGAAGACGATGCCCGAACCGTATTACGATCGGGCCTCAGAGGGAATCCAGCGCAGAAGCTCGCTTGTCTTGAGATTAAATTCGAAGGCGCTGTGAATTTGATGGTTCGAAACAATATCAGGGTTGCAGAGTGGATAGAAGCATTCACCAAAGCTCGCACTGTTCTTATTGAGCGCTACGGCAAAGACTGGTTCGCTGTGTATGGCAAATTCCAAAAGCGGCGTTTCAAGCTCGAAGAGACCCCTGCCGACTATCTCACTGACCTCCAGCGTGTCTGAAAATCGGCGGTTCACCTGAGGTTACGGACAAACTCACTTGTTTACAAATATGGCGTGGCTTACCTAATGATTCGGCTACAGTGTGGTATTCATGTCGGCAAGAATACTAGTATAATACGTCGACTATACGATGACTCTTCATCTACTGTGCCGGCCACGCGTTCAATCTGGTGTGTAGGCGAGCAATCTCATAGCTGGTCTCATGCCACATTGCTGTGGAATTGGGTGGCAACAAGTTTATCGGGAGATATTCTCACAACACCGTGGAGCTTTTGGACTGCATACTCTGGTTGAATTCATTTCCAGTGGTTGAGGAGATATGATGCCCCTCGTCGAGGGCCCCTCCTGACAAGAAAAGGCGTATGTGTGACGCGAGGAGGAGCGTCCAATAGATCCCAATGTTCTCTAAAAAGACTTAAGGCTCTCAGTCGTTGTTAGCAATTGTTCATATGTTGAATTCATGCCGCTTGAGCAGTCTGAGCGGTGCCACTGTGTGGGGTTCGGCTTTCTCCCCAATCAAGTATACCCCATGGGGTTCGAACCTGGTCTGGAGAGCTCCAGGTGGAGAATTATTGTTCATTAAATTTTTGCTTAATTTCTGAGTCAGAAAATTCACCACAGAATGGTATACAATTCTGGCAAGGATCACTTATCAAATGATCGTATTAATTGATTATTTGAAAAAAAAAACTCTCAAACGCTATAGCATCTTTCAGTTGGTGCAAGGAGCGTTCAGTGGCATCAACTCGAAGGTTCGTCGTTGACTCGCTGTTGTCGAAACGAGCTGTATGGACAACCCGACAGGTACCACGATCAGGGTTGAATTTTCGGCAGATTTCTTCTCTCTAGATTTTGTGCGGGTGGCGTTTTGCGTGCCTCAGATTGATGTTATCGCGGAGACTTGCAGAGGTAGGGAATTTCGTGGCGCGCGGTCAGGGAGCACGTGATTCAGGAAGGAGCTTCTAAGCGTCGCTGGCTGTATGTTCGGTGGGGCTTTGATGCCCTTAAGTGTGGAGAGCTCAGGTGAGATCATCTTTTCACTGAGTTTAAGCTGTCACGGAGATTTCGCTGGTGAGAATTTGTTGGTGAAGATGTGTTAATTTCTGAACACCCAAATTGTAGCAATTTACTTGACTGAATTGTAAAGTCAAATTGTTGATAGTTTTTCCAATCTTCCGATCGTCGGCGATGATGCCAACCGGGAGTCGACCTTTGAGTATGAGTTGTCGTATTCATCTTCAGGAGGTGTAGACGAGGTTGTGGCCATCTCGGGAAAGCTGTGAACTCGATCATACAGCGTCACTGTTGCTTGGTGCTGTTGATGCTACTAAGACGATCAGCGGAAGGGGTTAAGGAGTGAGTTTGATATGCTATAGGCCACGCGTTCGAATATTGGAGGAGATCATTCTCATAACATGACCACTCATTTCGTTGAATTATCACCTGTATATAATTTCGTGGCGCGTGACGGAATCCAGTAAGGGAATAGTAGTATTTCAGACAGCAGGAGTTAGCCAGCCTTGATCACTGGATGCGACGTTCCTCGAAGGAGTTCGTCAGGAGAGCCTTCTGGTGTTGGCAAAATGTAAGTGGAGACAAGCCTGTGAACATTTCTTCTAGTGAGCTCATGCTCACCTGTCGAGCATAGTCTTATCGATGAACATTCGGAATATTATAGGCTCTTGCAACAGCACGACAACGTGTGAAGAAGTTGGAGGCGATTTTCGATGTACATACAGTGGGGAGGAGGAGGAGATGCCTGTGTGAGTGGCGAGAGTATGTACAGAGCAAGCTGAGAAGGGTGAGAGATGCTGCAACTGGGGATAGAACCTTTGCGGATTTATTGTGTGCTGGTTTAGAATAGAGTTTTCAACAGTATATCGCGGCATTTGGATGAGAGATGGAGAGAAAAGGTGAGATCTTTACGAGGAAATTCGAAGGGGAATTAATTATGTCGATCCGTAATGGTATATAATATACAGAAAAATTATATCTCGAGTGAAGACTTAGTTGTGGAGCGTCGAAGAACGTGTTTCTTCCGAGTGAGGGAAGAGCAGTATTGGAAACTGTGTTGGCGCTTCTCAGCTGAGCTCAGGAGGTTTCTCACTAAGTTTGGGAGTTTATATACGACTTGGGGCAAAGCTGTACAGAAACCAACAATAATTTACCAGAATTTTCATATTGTCATCAACAGATGTAGGTGATACTCCCACACTGAGGAAAAGAAAATATGGGAAATTATTATATTTCAGAAATTTTATGATTTTACGGCTGAGTTTTCTCACTATAGGAGTTTATACACGACTCGACGGAGAAGTGTACAGAAACCGATGAGAATTCGCAGAATTGTCACCAACAGTTGATGATGTGCCTATTTTCCCCCAGGCCGAATCTTTTGACACTTTTGTCCCTCAGTTACAAGCTTGCATGCGTCTTTCCTTAATTTCGTGGCGCGCGACAACTCATCGGAAGTCCTGCTTGAGGAGGCGATTACGTTTATAGTAATACTGCGCTCCAATTGGTGTTTATCTTGTTGGTTGTAGTTTGTCGCATTCGAAGTGGAAGAGTATAACGCGATTGTTCAACGGCTGGCGAGCAGCAAGTGGAGTTATGAAGAGCCGACGACTTGGTAGAGAGAGAGGAAGCGAGGAGTTAGCGCAGACCACTGTAAGGAGACGATAGGACGGGTTCTTCTTTGAATGTTCGCCACTTTAGAGTTGTTTATATTCTTTTTGGTTATTGTATGAGATCTCTGAGTGGAATCGTTTATAGCCTTCTTGTCTTCGATAGTAAAAGTTCAGTAAAAAGTGTGTCTCACTTTTACACGCGAATATAGAAAATGCGCGTTATTTTCCGAGATCAATGAGAACCGATCTGAAACGATATCACATGAACAATACAAACATTGCTATGAACATATGATATAGCATGAGTAACCTTTTGAGACTATGATAGCAACAAGTTGTTCACTATCAATAATCCCGGAATAGAAAACGCACATTTGCATATCATCAAATTGGCATGCACTGTAGTAATGACCTGAAAGATCCTGATGGGAGCTCAACAAGTAAGATGTCTTATAAGGTAAATTTCTGAAGTGTGAGGAGAGATCTTTATTAGTCTATCTGTATCTGATCGTTGTTCTATACTAGAATGCCGGCCGCATTCTGTGGTTGATCGCTCTTGCTATTGTTGGGAATAGTGAGGATAGGTTGTTAGTATTATAGGCGTTTGCTAAGGGATGTCTATGCGGATGTATGTGATGAATGTTTAGTTCTCTCTCTGGCACCGCTTATCGGAGAGGAACTCCTTCATACGTCAATGGGCAGAGCAATCAGTAAGAATTGGTGTTGAGCGTGTAAGGATATCCATGTAGGTTCGATCCCGGCAAGGTGCATTTTTCTATTCATGGCGTTATTTGACTCAAACTTCTACGACAGACAGGATGGCAGGACTGATCGCTGCAACCACGT